GATATAATGTTGATCTCGAAAGGTCACCGCGGCTTAAAACACCACAAGGCTGTGGTTTGCCAGGCACCAAACAAAGCGCTTTACGCACATGGACTTGGCTCACCCCTCCATGATCTCTGAGGCAGGTGCTCCTGTTAGCCCCACATCGTGGCTGAGCAAACCGAGGCTGGAGAACCACGTGACTAGACCAAGGTCGTTCGGCTGCTAGACAGCGAGACACGGTGGCCACGCAGAACCGCGAAGCCACCGCCTTCCCACCTGAGAGTGACCATTCGCAGCAGTTTCTACAAATTCTCGCAGAGGCAGTCGGTGCATTTTTTAAAATGTTCTGGTTAATTATATCTGACATACAAGATTATATTAATTTCAGATGTACGACACAGCAATTCAACATTTATATACCTTATGAAGTGGTCACCAAAAACAGTCTAGTAGCCATCTGTCACTGTACGTAGTTCTCACCTTATTGACTCGATTCCCTGTGCTGTACTTTATATCCCCGTGACTTATTCTATAACTAGAAGTTTGTATTTTTTAATCTCTCTTCCTCTTTTCCTCCCAAACCCTCACCCCTGTCCCCTCTGGTGACCATCGGTCTGTTCTCTGTAGATAATCAAGGCACCCGAAAGAGGCTGTCATACATTCATCTATTTCCCCCATAGATGACATGGTGGCATGTCCTATATGCCTTTCTCTGCGCCTGTGTTTTACTCCTTAATATTTCTTGACCGTGTGACTTCTTCCTGAAGACTGTCTCAGTCCACTTGACATCTCTTGGCATTCTGTTCTGTGGATGTGGGTTGATGAATGATTGAAGGAATATCTTACTGGACAGGTGTCCGGCTGAAGAGTTTGGACTTTGTCCCGAGGGGAGCCAGGGGGGCCGCTCAGAGGGCGGGGCGACTAGGTCAGATCTGTGCTTGGGAACCTTTCAGCCTCTTCTCAATCCTGGGACTTTGCACGGATTGTTCATTTTGCCTGGAATACTTTCCCTTGGGCTTGGACCAACTCCTTCCTACCCCACCTATGACACCTCCTCCTCCAGGAAGCCCTCCTTGACCCCCAGGTGAGGTCAAGCACCCTTTTGGGCTCCCCCATCCCAGCCATGCTCACTCTGTGTTGTCGTTGTCTGGGGATGAGTCTGTCTCCCCCCTTTGGACTGTGATTCCCTAGAGCATGGGGCTGGGATCGTCTTGGTCACTGTTGGGTCCCTGGTAATCTCCCATCGCAGGGTCCAACAATGTGCTCAGAATAAATGATGGTCCCTTGAAGGAAATGTCTCTGCTTGGGGAGAAGCCAAGTGTAGGGGCGGTCGCGGTGTCCGAGAGAGGTTGAGGGCGCAGGCTGGAGTGAGAGACACCTGAGTTCAAGTCCCCTTCCCAGGTCGGGGGTTCAGACCACACCAAACCTCATCACCCCATCTGCGTCCAAATCCGGAAACCCGGAGTGAGTGCTCATGGCTTAGTGGAGACAAGCCAGCGCTGACGGCGTGACAAACGGGGCGTCCCCTCCTGCTCCCTCAGGCCTCTGCACCTGCTCCTCCCTCTCATCAGAATGCTCTCCCTATATCGTCCTGGTACACTCCTTCCTGTCATTCAGGTCTCACTGCAAATGTCACGTCCTCGGAGCGGCCCATTGTGACCACTCTCTCTCTCTGCTGTACAATGCGTTAGCTTTCTCCACCTGACAGCTCAAGTTTATTTCCTTGTCTCCCCTCACTAGAATCTGACAAATAGTTTTGTCTGTTTTCTCTTCTTTTTTATTTTTATTTTTATTTTTTATCACTGCTGAATCTCCAGCACCTCAAACAGTGTTTGGCCATTCGTAAGGGCCCAAGGACTGTCTGCAGAATGAATAGAGAGCTCAGGAATTGTCTCCTCGTGTTTTGTATCGAGGGTCAGTGTGTGCACGATGGAATTTATACTCACGTTGACTCTAGGACAAATGAAGAAACTGATACCCAGCTGGTAAGTGGTGAGGTCAGGATTCAAACCCATGTCTGTGTGGCTTTAGTGCCCACACATTCAGCATCTAGCACAGAACCAAGTTCACCGGAGTTTACCTTGAGTCTGTTGAACGAATATCATGTCAGACTAGCAGGGTAGGATTGGGGACGGGGGCTTTCTGGAGTAGGTGGTGTCGAGGCCAGAAGGATTTGGGAGGGGAGATGTCCGACACACACAGGAAAGAGTTCCACGAGGCCACGCGTGCCTGGGCAAATTGTCGGTTTGGCCTGGCCCCAACGCCGCGGATCCTGCGGGATGTCAGTTCAAGCTCTCAGAGCATCTTCCCAAGCAAATTTAAGTCTCGGGCTGGCAGTGACCAGCAGAGAGAGCTCACCACCAGGGCCCAGCAGTGTCTGGAGCTGGTCTGGGCCCAAACCATGTCCTTCAATAATAATGACAATAACAACAAGAATACTAGTTAACTTTATTAAGAGCTAACCTGCACCCTGTGAACATATGATCTCATTTGATCCTCTGAGCAGCCGGGGAGATATGCTCTATTATAATTTTTCCCATTATACAGATGTGGAGACTGAGGCTCATAGAGGTTGTGACTTGCCTGAGGCCCCGCAGCTGCTGCAGGAGGAAGCTTGTGAGGTGACCATCTACAGTCTTTGAAGAAGTGTGAACCCCTGAAACGTTACCAGAGAACAGGACAGATGTGGAAGGAATTAGGATTTCAGTAATAATGGGTTCACCGAAAACCACCCAAATGACCACCCAGAAGGAATTCAGGAAAGCGGCAGAATAGGTATGATTAAGGCCTTGGGAGGCAGGCAGGCAACACCCGGCCTTCCCAGATGTGGCCTCAAGGTGAGTAATTTCCTCTGGCCATAAGCCCCAGTTTTGGGCCTCTGGAAAATGGGTATAAATTGTGAGACCAACTTCACCAAGCAGTTTCGAAGATTCAAGGGATATTAGGCATATGCATTTGTCAAAAGTCAATGAATGTCACTTAAGATTTGTGCATTTTGTAGCATGTAAATTTTACCTGAAAAGAAAAAAACGGCCCCCATGCAAATATGGAACTCTGATTAATAAGCGCACACTGAAGTATTTCAAGGAAAGTGCTCTAATATCTGCAATTTATCTTATCATGCATCAAAAAAAGAAGGTGAACGGATGCATGAAGAGAGAGAGATAAATGGATAGAAATATGATATAGAAGTATGACGAAATAATTGTAGACTAGGTTTTGGTGTATGGTGTCCATTGTAAAATCCTTTAAACTTTTTGTATGTTCGAAAATTTTTTGTAAGAAAATGTGGGGGAATATTTGATGAAAACATTCGTTACAGCATTAGCACAATCATTGAATTATAACTTTTAATAGATGAATTGCAAATTGTGTATCTAGGGGAAATGGATTACAGTCCTAATCTATATAATAACTGCCATTAATTGGTAAGTGCAGGGCGCCGACCTGGGAATATTTATTTTAAAAATCATTCACATTACTAAAAAAATAACTCCATCTCATTGAAATCTTATACCTAACGCGCGGGAATCTGCATTTTCGAGGGGGTGATAAAAGACCGAATTTAGGGCGCTGGAGGGAGGAGTTCCAGGCAGAGTTGGTTTGCAGATGAGCCACCAGCGGATCAGCTGCGCTGTCTAGAGAACCTCGCGTGCTCCAAGTAACCTCTGTGGCCTAACGGGCCCCAACCCACAGCCCCATTTCCTTTGGCGAGGGAAAGTCGTTCCCAGGCCCCGTCGCCTTCGAGCCGGGTCCCGACCCGGGCCCGCCCCCGGGATAAGGCGGCGTTATTCCGCAGACTTGGCCCATTTCTCGCCTCCGTCCCGCCCCCTCGCTCGCGGGAGGTCCCTGAACGCGCTGCAGCCAATCGGCACCCTCGGATGGGTGCCCGCCTTCGCCAGCCTCGCTAGGTCTTAATCCCGGCAGTTTCCGCCCCGCGGGTTCAGAGCCACGCGTCGCGCCCGGGACCTTCCCTCGGCGCGAACAGCCTTTCCCCCCGGGGGGTCCGCGACCGCCGCCCTCCGCACCCGGTGGCCTGGACCTCCCCTCCGGGACCCAAGAGCCTGAGTCGCCTCCCCGCGGGGCTCCGTCTCTGGGCGTCCAGACTCAGGCTCCCGAGCCCGCCGTTTCCAGGACCCAGGCACCCCAGGTCCCCGCCTCCCGGATCCAGGCACCCGGATCCGCGCCACCAGCACCTCACTTCTTGAAGACCTCGGCCTCGTGGGCGCCGGCCGCCTTCCAGAGCCCAGGACCCCCCACCCTCCCAACCCCCATCCCCAGGTCCCAGCTTGAGAAAATCCTGCGTTCCCGCCCTCAGGGCCAAGACAGCCAGGCGCCCCCGGCTCTCAGCCTGGAGGAGCGGAGGAGCCCCGGCGCCCCGCCTCCGAGAGCCGAGGAACCGGGGCGCTGCGAACTCAGGCGGCGAGGAGCTCCAAGTTCTGGCCGCCGGACTCTACTGCTCACCTCTCGGTGCTAAGGGACGTCGGCGTCCTGGGAAGGCGCCCTAAGCCGTCCCCCCGAGGAACCCCGGGCGTTCGCCATGGTGGCCGATCGGCCTTCCCAAGGGG